TCTGAGGAAACAGGACCAGCTGAGGAACTGGCAAGGTGAGATAGCTGTGGCTTGTTCTGTCTCTCTGATCTACCAGCACTGACCTCAATAACTGGCCTCGGGTTTGATTTTATTAATAAGAACTTTTAAGATTCCTGCTACAGTATGTTCCTATATCTATAATGAGATCCTAGCCTGAGGATGTGGTGTAGTAGGTAGAGTGCTTATCTAGATGCACCAAGCCCGGGATTTGATCTCCAGCACCACATAAGCTGGGTATGGCAGTTGTCTTAGTTAAGGTTTCTATGGCTGTGACAAAACACTATGACCAAAAATCAAGTTGAGGAAGAAAGGGTTTATTTGGTTTACATTTCCATATTGCTGTTCATCATCAAAGGAAGTCAGGACAGGAATCTGGAAGCAGGAGCTGAAGCAGAGGCCATGGAGGAGTACTGCTTACTGGCTTGCTCAGCCTGCTTTCTTACAGAATCCAGGATCACCAGCCCAGGGGTGGTACCACCCTCGATGGACTGAGCTCTTTCCCATCAATCACTAACTTAGAAAATGCCTTATAGCTTGATCTTATGGAGGCATTTTCTCAATTGAGTTTTCCTCCTTTCAGGTGACTGTAGCTTGTGTCAATTTAACATAAGACTAGCCAGTACAGTGGCATGCACATGACATCCCAGTACCAGGGAGTAGAGACAAATTCAATGTCATCCTGGCTACATAGCGAGTTTGAGGCCAGCCTCAGGTACATGAAACCTTGTCAAAATAAAGCTTTAAAACGATAAGTTAAGAATAATCTCTGGGTCACTATCTAAGCAGGTCTAAAGTATATGAGTAGAAAATATATTATACTCAAACAAATAAATAAATACACTCAAATTTGTAAAGGAAAGTAAACCTGATTAAATTAGTTTAAAATTATTATAAAAGTCAAATAACCAATAAAGTGAGACTCTTGTAGAGTGCATACAGTTTGCTCTTACTGTATCACTGATATGGACAATCTTCTGAGTTCCTGTTGTGCTCACTTTATACAGTGAAGAAGAATGTCTTCTCCATTTTAGTTTCATGAGCTGTGATCTTTTTCTCCCTCTGGTGTCTTTATTCAGTACTGCAGAATCTCTGGTACTAAGACAAGCTGGTTCAGCTCTTTGTCCTTTGTGTCCTAGACAGGCAGTGGAAGAGTGACATCTGGGGCTTTCTACTGTGCCATTCTTCTGAAATCATGCCTTTGCCATACATTTCATGTTTACAGTTCCATTCACTTGTCTCTTCTGCAGTGATTTGCTTATATCCCTGCCACTTCCATCCTGGTCCTATAGACGGACTCATGTCACCAAGGTTAGCAACAAATGCTCTTACCCCACTGAGCTATTTGGAAGGTTTTCCACACTCAGTAATAAGCTACTACATTGTTTACCAATGTCGCGGTACTGGTTCACACACTCATGGTCAGTGTATGGAATCCACACCTAACACATTAAAGTGAGTGTTGTAAACTTTACACACTTGGAGTGTACAGTGGCACCTTTTTCTTTAGTTTTCTAATTGCAGTAAAACATAAATGAGTTATCATTTAACCACATATAGGTAGTGACTAACACTAAATATGTTCACATGCTGTCTTCTCATCATTATTACTTATACAAAGGTTTTCATTGTCCCTAACAAACTGAACATATTAAACATAATTTCCCTTTCTCTCCCCATCTCTGGTCTGCCTTCTGTCCCAATGAATCCACCTATTCTAGGACTTCATATAAGTGGAATAAAAACATTTGCTTCTGTGTTAGACTGGTTTTACTAATAAGCATGTTTACATGGTCTACTCATGCTGATACATACATAAAACTTCTGTTTCTCTTTATATCGGACTTACACTCCATGAAATATAAACACACTTTGCTTATTAACTGTAGTTAATGAACAAGATTGGTATAGAGACATCTGTTTTCAGGATAATTTCCTACTTAACTTTAGCCATCTTGACACAACTTAAAAGTCACCTGAGGAAGGAGTCCCAATTAAGGATTACCCAAATCAGACTAGCCTGTGGGGATGTCTGTGAGATGTCTTGGATGCTAACTGATAATTAGGGGCCCAGCCTACTGTAGGTGGTACCATCCCTATGCAGATGATCCTAGCTGCATAAAAATATGCATAAGAATATACTCCATATGCAGGATACTGAGAGTGAGCCAATAAGCAGTGTTCCTTCATAATGTCTGCTCTAACTTCATGCTTAAGCTCCTACTTTGACTTCATCCTCAGCGATAGACTGACCTGGAAGTCAAATAAGCCCTTTTCTCCCTAAGTTGTTTTTGATCAGAGTGTTTTATCACAACAAAAGAAAGTAGAGGAGAAATACACCTTGCAGTGAATTTTCTGTGTCACACCACAATTCTGTTTAATTCTTCTAGAAACACCAATTTGTTTTCCACTGTGGCTGCTCCATTTTATACTATACCAGCAACACACAGGACTCCAGTTTCTACTCATCACACTTTGGGTTTTCCTTTTCTTTCTTTTTATAGTCATTATGGTGGGAATTAATACTTCCTTCATTGGAGTTCTGGCTTCCATGCTCCCTAGTGGGTGTGTTGTTGAATGTCTTTTCATTTGCTTAGTAGCAGGTGTTTTGCTTGTTTGTTTTATTTCAGTTTTCAGAGATAGGATCTCCCACTTGATTTGTATCTGAGGATGACCTCACTGACCTGGTCCTCCTGTCCTCAGTTCCCAAGTTCTGGGATTACAATGGTGTGCCATGCTCTATTTACCAGGTGTATATTTCTCTGGTAGAATGCCTAGTCAAGCTGAGTCTTTTGCCTGTTTTGTTTTTCCTTTGTTTGAACCCAGAGCCTGGTACATATAAGATGTTAGAACCCAGTCCTCTGCCACTGAGATATGTCTCCAGCATCTGCCCAGTTCTGGGTGTTTGTTGCTGTTGTTTAAGAGTTTCCAGACATTCCAGACACTGGTTCCTTATGAAGAGCTTTTATTTCTTTAGACAAAGTCTCACTATGTAGCCCAGGCTGGCTTCGAGATTATTAAGAAGTTCCAAGTGGGAGGGGAGCTGAGCATGGTAGTGCATGCCTTTAGTCCTAGCACTTGGGGCACAGAGGTAAGCAGATCTCTATGAGTTTGAGGTTAACCTGGTCTACAGAGTGAGATCCTATTTCAACCCACTCCTCACCCCCCAAAAAAGTCCAAGTTGACTTCAAACTCATGATCCTCGTTGCTCAGACTGCCAAATGAAGGATTACAGGCATGTGCAATATGGCCGTCTCAAGAGATTAAAAAAAAAAAAACTTTATAAAAGATTAAAGTTTAAAACTAAAAATTTGGCCAGGTGGTGATGGCACACATCTTTAATCCCAGCAATCCAGAGGCAGAGGAAGGAGGGTCTCTGAGTTCAAGGCCAGCCTGGTCTATACAGCAAGTTCTAAGAAAGCCAGGGCTACACAGAGAAACCCTGTCTTGAAAAACTAAAAAAGTAAAAACATACAAAAGTTTTTACTCATTCTGTAGGCTTTCTCTACAGTATTTATTTTGCTTTCTTGGTAGTATCATTTGATTCACAAAAGTTCCTATTTTATAGTTTCAAGGGTTGAATCCAAGGGCCTTACATACACCAATCAAGTGTTCGACCACTGAGCTACCAAGCTCCCAAATTCTTAACTTTAATAAAGTTCAATGTTTTTCTTTTAGAAAAATCTATATTATTATTATTATTATTATTATTATTATTATTATTATTATTTGCAAGCATCACGTCTGAGAGGGTTCATGTGCCACAGGGCATGTGCCATATTGCATGTGTGAGATCAGAGGACAACTCTGTGGAATTGCTCCTCTCTTCCCACCTTCACGAGTTCTGAAGTTGAACTCGGGTCACAAGGCTTACATAGCAAGTGCTTTACCCACTGAGACACCTCTCTAGCCCTTCAATTTATTTTTCTTTGTTGCTTAAACTTTGGGTGTCATATTTGGTGAAAAAATCAAACCCAGTGTTGCCAAGATCTTTCACAGTGTTTTCCTCTAAGAGTTGTGACACTGACTTGCAATGCCCTCAAAGGCTGAGGGCAAATGCCAGTTTTGATAGAGCTCTGGCTGGCAAAAGCTTTAAAAAAAGTTTGGAACAAAGTCTGTCAAGTGCCCAGAGTCTTTTGGTTAATGATTTGTTAAAAATACAGTGCTTACCAATGAAAACAGTTCCAACTTTGCTCACAGAGTGAAGAAACATCTGGGATGTGATTAATTGCCTTTTAATTTCTCTGAATCTATCTGATTTGTTTAGTCTAGATTCTAGAATATTGAGTTTCTTAAGGTAGGTCATATATGAACATCAAAATATCTGTTGCCTTGTAAATATCCCAATCAAGTTTAAGGTGTACACCTCAACACACACAGGGAGGTAGCTCAGTGAAGCGGAGGAGCACAAGAGTGCGCACATTCTCCTCCTGCAGGGGAACTCAGGCTCGTTTTCCTTTGTGCTCCTTACTGTACAGGCAGGCTTTTTCCTCAATGTCCACCAAAGGCATTTCATACTTAACTTCCCCATGACTGCTGAGAGAATAGTGACTTTAAAAAGGAATAATTAAAAGAACTTCCCACTAATATACTTTCTCACACAGACTCTAAGTACACCATGAACATGTACTTCCCATAGTTAGTGAACCTTTCTCTCATAACCAAGCAACACCTTTTGAAACTTGAGCAGAGGGATGTCTGGCTTAACACCTACCAACGCTGAATGTTCAATCCATTAAGATGACTCTCTCTGAGCTCAGACACTAATGACAAAACCATCTGTAAAACAAAATCAGACACAGGTCAACTCACACTGCAACACAACTACCTCAGCTCCATTTCTCTTGCTGTAACACATCCCTCACCATTTCCTCCCCACTCTCTCCTTGTGCTTTACTTTGCAGAAGGAGAGGAAGCAACATCACATCACACTGACTGTAATCAATGTCTTAGAATTAACACCAAACCCAAAGAAAATTAAAGAATACTGGAGTTTACTTATTTTCTTCCTTTTTTAGCTGCTTTTTTAAAAAGTGTTTTTCAGTGTATGACTTCCAAAACATGAAAATGGCTAATAACCATCAAAGATCTCATTTTCAGAAGAGTATAGCGTGGGAAGTGGGTGCATATGCCACCGTGCCTAGATGGAAGCCAGAATTAACTCTTCCACCGTAAACATGAGAACTGAGGGTCAGACTCAGGTCACCATGTTTTCATGGCAAGCACTTCTGCCCACTGGGCCACCCTGCCATCCCTTAAGTTAACTTTCTGCTTTGCTTCAACATAAAATTCAGTCAGGCTATTTTTAGATATGATATCTGCTCAGAAGTCCAGGCTATGTTTATACTGGTTAAGAGCTGTTCTCAGAAATCTTTGATTGAGTGAGATGTGTTGTGAGAGTCCAATAGCACCTCACATCTTCCTTCCATGGTCGCAAGTCTACCCCCCAAGTAAGAAACAGACAAAAGTTCAATGACTCCCTGGAAGAGGAAAATGTCTCATTTACCCTTCACACAACTGGTGAGAATTTCAATACAAAAAAAGTAAGATACTCACATTTTTAAGCAAACTAGGATAGTAATCAACAGACTCATATCCGAGACTTTCAGGAAAAAGACCAATTTCTTTCATGTCGAATCTGAATGCAGAAAGTACATGAGATAACAAACCCTAAAAAACAAAAAGGTAACCAGTCAACTTCTCCCAAATGGATGGAAGTGCCTGTGTTGGAAAAAGCCTGCAGCCAGCATCACCTATCAAATTCCAGGGGTCTTATAAGACCAGTCATTCCCAGGTTGATCAATGGAATAAAATTAAAGACCCAGACATAAATCCACACACCCATGGACACCTGATTTTTGATGAAGCAGCCAGAAATACACAATGGAAAGAAAGATAGCAGCTTCAACAAATGGTGCTGGTCTAAGTGGATGTGAGCATGTAGAAGAATGCAAATAGAGCCACATCTATCACACTGCACAAAACTCAAGTCCAAGTGGATCTAAGACCTCAGCATAAATCCAGTTACACTGAACCTCATCGAAGAGAAAGTGGGAAACAGCCTTGAATGTACTAGCACAGTAGACAACTTCAATACACTAGCACAGACAACTAAGACTGACAATAAAGGAGACCTCATGAAACTGAAACGCTTCTGTAAGGCAAAGGACACTGTCAACAGGACAAAACAGCAGCCTTCAGAATGAGAAAAGATCTTCACCAACCCCACATTTGAAAGAGGACTAATAGCCAAAATATATAAAGAACTCAAGAAACTAGACATCAAAAGACCAAATAATCCAATTAAAAATGGAGTACAGATCTAAACAGAGAATTCTCAAAAGAGGAATCTCAAATGGCTGAGAAACACTTGAAATGTTCAACATGTTTAGTCATCAGGGAAATGCAAATCAAAACGACTCTGAGATTCCATCTTACACCTGTCAGAATGACTAAGATCAAAAATACAAGTGACAGCTCATGCTGGTGAGGATGTGGAGCAAGGGGTACACTCCTCCATTGCTGGTGGGAGTGAAAACTTGTACAGCTACTTTGGAAATCAATATGGCAGTTTCTCAGAAAAATTGAGAATCTAATCTACCTCAGGACACAGCTATCCCATTCCTGGGCATATACCCAAAGGACACTCCATTCTACAACAAGGACACTTGTTCAACTATGTTCATAGCAGCTTTATTAATAATAGCCAGAAACTAGAAACAACCTAGATGTCCCTCAACCGAAGAACAGACAAAGAAAATGTGGTATATTTACACAATGGCTATATGCCTTTCTGTTCTGTATCTCACTTCCTCTTTCCACCCAGCTACATCACTTCTGGTCTTTCTGTATAGATCTCTAGACCTCTATGGTTAGTACTGGAATTAAAGGCACATGTTGGTCAGGCAGTGGTGGCACACACCTTTAATCCCAGCACTGGAGAGGCAGAGCCAGGTGGATCTCTGTAAGTCTACAGAGCAAGATCCAGGACAGGCACCAAAACTACACAGAGAAACCCTGTCTAGGAAAAAACAAAAACAAAAACAAGCAAACAAAAAAAGACGTGTCACCATGCCTGGCTCTGTTCCCCGCAGAGATCCAGATAGATCTCTGCCACCCGAATGCTAGGATTAAAGGCATGTGCTACGATTGCCTGATTTCTATGTTTAATATAGTGGCTGGCTTTTCCCTCTGATCTTCAGATAAGCTTTACTGGGTTGCACAAATAAAATATCACCACAATTTCCCCTTCCCAGGGTGATTCATGCATTCTTCTTAGGGTCTTTCTTGTTACACAGCTCTGGAGCTGTGGGTTGTAGTCTGATTATTCTTGGCTTTAAAACATCTAGTATTCACTTATGAGTGAGTATATACCATGTTTGTCTTTCTAAGTCTGGGTTACCTCACTCAGGATGATTTTTTTCTAGTTCCATCCATTTGCCTGCATATGTCATGATGTCGCTTTTAACAGCTGAGTAATACTCCATTGTGTGAATGTACCACATTTTCTTTATCCATTCTCCAGTTGAAGGGCATCTAGGCTGTTTCCAGGTTCTGGCTATTACTAATAATGCTGCTATGAACATAGCTGAACAAGTGTCCTTGTGGTATGATTGAGCATCCTTTAGGTATATGCCCAAGAGTGGTATCCTTGGGTCTTGAGGTAGATTGATTCCCAATTTTCTGAGAATCCACCATACTGCTTTCCAAAGTGGCTGTAGAAATTTGCATTCCCACCAGTAGTGGAAGAGTGTTCCCCTTACGCCACATCTTCTCCAACATAATCTGTCCTTAGTGGTTTTGATCTTGGCCATTCTGACAGGTATAAGATGGTATCTTAGAGTAGTTTTGATTTGCATTTCCCTGATGCTGAGGATGTTCAACAATCCTTTAAGTGTATTTCAGCCATTTGAGATTCTTCTGTTGAGAATTCTCTGTTTAGATCTGTAACCCATTTTTTAATTGGATTATTTGGTATTTTAATGTCCAGTTTCTTGAGTTCTTTATATATTTTGGAGATCAGCCTTCTGTCAGATGTGGGATTTGTGAAGATCTTTTCCCATTCTGTAGGGTGGCATTTTGTCTTATTTACCATGTCCTTTGCCTTAGAGAAGCTTTTTAGTTTCAGGAGGTCCCATTGTGTAGTGGGTAGCCATTCTAGCTTTGACCGGGAAGTACCACCCCCTTTGAGGCTTCGGTAACTGTCACACCTACAAGGCAGAGCCTAGAGAGGACCCCTGAAGACCTGGGATCCGGATGGGCCAGTGCTCTCAGTTCCTGGCTCCTGGACCCTGGAGGTGGCCCGAGCAGAGTTCTCCAGCCCATTGCCTCCTGAAGTTCTTTTATTGTACAGGGTTGCTTAATCTACCCTAGATTTTTTTGGTTTCCCATATGAAGTTGAGTATTGTTCTTTCAAGGTATGTGAAGAACTGTGTTGGGATTTTGATGGGGATTGCATTGGTAAGATTGCTATTTTTATTATGTTAATCCTACCTAACCATGAACATGGGAGATCTTTCCATTTTCTGATATCTTCATCGACTTCTTTCTTCAAAGATTTAAAGTTCTTGTCATACAGGTCTTTCACTTGTTTGGTTAGAGTTACCCCAAGACATTTTATATTATTTGTGGCTATTGTAAAGGGTGTATTTCTCTGATTTCTTTCTTGGCCCATTTATCATTTATATATAGGAGGGCTACTGAATCTTTTGAGTTAATCTTGTATCCTGCCACATTACTGAAGGTGTTTATCAGCTGTAGGAGTTCCCTGGTAGAATTTTTGGAGTCACTTATGTATACTATCATATCCTCTGTAAATAGCGAAAGCACAAATGAGGAAGACTGTTAAGGAATGGTTTGGATCACACGTGGCCACCTCACTGTGCGAGCTCCCAGATGACAAGCACAAGGAACAGGAAAGGTAAACGGGGGCGTTCCTGAGGAAACCATTTAGTGCCTAAAAACACACGTGCAACAACAGTCCTCACAAACAAGAACACTGCCAACACCTTCAGCCCAATGAGTGAAGGCTTCTGACAGGCAAGGTTTTGAAGCCCTTGAAGGGTTCCAAGAGACAGGTACTCACAGAGTGAGCCACAACCCACCCCACACTGAGACTCCCGGGACTTTGATACCTAAACAAGACATCTTACAAGCAAACAGAGACCCTGGTCTACCTATTAAATTCCTATCAAACACTTTTGACATGCCTGGCATACACTGGAGGAAATAAAATCTAACATTAGGGATTATACTCAAAAAGGCTCATTTTATTGTTGCACTGTGAACAATGTCTGACAACAGGGATGAGATAGGATAAATTGCATATATGCATAAAGATGGGCAGAAATGACAGCTGATAGCAGGATAGAAGTCCTGGGTTAATTTCCACAGTAGGCACAGACCCCACAGCATACATGCTAGATGCCTGTGTCTTTACAGCATCTATCAGGATACCTGTTTCCATTTCATCATGAAATAGTTCACATATTCAAAAATAATTAAGGTCACAAGATACACTTCATTGCCTGTAAGATTTAGTGACACATTTGAAACACAGAGGCAGCCTCTGTGACATCCCCCTTCCACCACTCCACAGCCTTCTATCCCAAACAGGAAATTATGATGGACTCTAGCAAGCTCTTTAAAGCCAAGAGAAAGTTACCCATTTTCTCAGAGTAGGTAACATGTACAGAGCTCAAGGCTACACTAGTATACCACAGCTGGAAACCTGAGCCTGGAGACCCAGCCCAAGACCTCAACTCAGACAACCTTATAGAGCTGCCTCGGTAAGTCAGTGGCAGGAAGCTACTTCACTCTCTTGAACCACTCAAAACCCAGAGACATGGCCAGCACTGTTGACAAAAACGGAAGACACCCGAGGAGAAAAACCAGGAAGCAATGTGGTGAAGGTGGGCTTTTGGAGTATGCACTGCAAAGGTTCCTTACTAAAAGGAACACTGACTACTTGGAGCCACTTGTATGTTATTCCTGTTTTTCTTTCTGTTCAAACTTGTGCTAAGAGCAGAAAGTAAACAAGCTGACGCATCCCTAGGAGGGCTCTCTCCAAGTCCTGTCCACTGTTAGGAGAACAAGCAGTGCTATGGGGCCACAGGGAGCAGCAAGCCACTGTGCCTTCTTCCCTCAGAGCTGCTCACACCACACAGGAGTACTCAAGGGCCTCAGCAAGAAAGCAAGAGCACTGAGGCTAGTCCCCACCACATGCCATGGCAGTACTACAGACAGGAAGGGTCTGTGTATACCAAAGCCATATATATGGAGGTGTCCCAGGTGTGACCCAGGCTGGGAGGCTTGGCCAAGCAGACTTGGTTTGGTCATTAGTAGCTCTGGGTTTTGTAAGATCAAGCCAGGAAGCTGGGGCAGCACTGGAGATCTTGCCCTCCAATACCAACACTGAACGCACTTTATGTTCAGGAGCTGCGTGGCTGCTTCACAGACCCGCACTCCCAATCCTCACACCATGTAAATATCCTTAGGAACCATCCTTACAGGTAAGGACACCAAGACACAGCTTAAGTGCTGCTCAAGGCTGGAGCCCACCCTCATGGCAAATCTCTTAAGGAGCTACCCTCAGACATTCTCCACAAAACCACTGGATGTAAATCAGACCAATATAGGTATGCCCTTAAATCTCCTAGTCACTCTACTAT